TCGGTATTCCGTTCCATGCACCAATTGCACCAAGTACTCCAGGAAGAAAGGTAGCATCTTCTGGTTCCAGGAGCCCAGGAATCCCAGAGAAGTTCTTTAGATCTCTGCGATAATTCTCCGAAATTCCAGGATCCCCTGAAAGAGTCCAAGCCACTAATTGGAGATGACCTTGCATTATCATCGGATGAGGGTTTCCTTGAGGGTCCTCTAACAGGTTGGGCCATAGAGGTAGAAGGAGGGGATGTTGGCAGGAGAGGTCCAGGAGATCTGGGAACCATGCTTGGCCCTGCCAGAGCGGGGTGAGTAGTACCAGTGTGACCTGTTGTCTGCGAATCTGAAGAAGGGTTCTTGGGATCATCGCGAACGGAGGGAAGGCGTAGGCTCCCGTCGTCGGCCATTTCTGAAGAAAGGCATCTACTGCCAAACATTCCGGGTCTGGTAGCCAGCTGAAGAAGCGTGGGACTTGAAAATTCGTCCGGGAGGCGAACAGGTCCAGAGTAAACGGGCCCCTGAGTTTGGAGACGTGGAGGAAGACTGACCTGTGTAAGCGCCAGTCGCTGCCGTCTCTCCAATGTCGGGAGAACCAATCCGCAGTGGTGTTCGTCTCCCCCGGAAGGTATTCTGCCCGGAGTGTTATGTTGCGCTGGAAGCAAAAATTGTAGATGTCCTTTGTCACCTCGGACAGGGTGTGAGATCTGGCCCCGCCCAATTTGTTGATGTATTGAACGGCCGAGATATTGTCCATTCGGAGGAGAATACAGCAGTCTGAGAGATGATTGGCCAGACTGCGGATTGCAAACGATCCTGCGATTAATTCCAGACAGTTGATGTGGAGAGAGTGTTCTGCGTCGGTCCATGGTCCCCCGGTGGAAGTTGTATGACAAGTTGCACCCCAGCCTTGGAGGCTCGCGTCTGATTCCACCACAAAGTCCGGAGTGGGACCAAAAATTGCTTTGCCGTTCCAGGCAGACATGTGGCGAAGCCACCAGTAGAGTTCCTCCCTCACCTCGGTAGTGATCGGGACCCTTTGGTCGTATGATGGATGGGTCTGGAGGAATTGAGCCTTCAAGCGTTGCATGGCCCGATAATGGAGGGGACCTGGGTAGATTGCTTGAATGGAGGCAGAAAGCAGGCCTATAATCCGAGCCAAACCTCGGAGAGGTAGATCCACTTGACGAAGCGTCTTGCGCAGTTCCTTCCTGATCGCGGTTAACTTGGACTGAGGCAGGCGGAGAACACAGGTGGAGGAGTCGATCTCGAAGCCGAGAAACTGTATGATTTGGGATGGAGTCAGCGAGGATTTTTCCTTGTTGATGACGAATCCCAAGGATTCTATCAATGAGGATGTGTAGTTCGTCTGTGACTGCAGCGTGGAGATGTTGTCGCAGAGTAGTAAGAGGTCGTCGAGGTAGATTAGGCAGCGAAAACCCCTTGCTCGAAGATGTGCGGTGACTGGCTTGAGCAGTTTGGTGAAGCACCAGGGAGCGGAACTCAGGCCGAATGGAAGGCAGGTGAATTGGAAGATCCGGTGGTGCCAGGGGAAGCGGAGGAAACGTCGACTGGATGGATGTACTGGCACGGAGAGGTAAGCATCCTTGAGGTCGAGTCGGGTGAACCAATCGCCTGGTCGGAGAATGTCTCTGAGGAGATGTATCCCTTCCATTTTGAAATGCCGGTATATCACGAAGGTATTCAATTGGCGAAGGTTGATTACCGGGCGAAATTCTCCCGATTTCTTTTTGACCAGGAATATGGAACTTAGAAAGCCTTCGTCGTGTGGAGCGGGTTGAATTGCTCCTTTTGTTAGCAAGGAACGTAGTTCTGAATCGAGGAGGAGCCATTGAGATTTTGACATTATCGGGTAATGGGGAGGACCTGTTGGGTATCTGTAGCGTCCACGGGCTCTACCTCCTCTTCCCCTATCTGACCTTTGGGTGTAGAAACCTCTATTTTGATAGTTGGGGAAGAATGGTGAAGTGGGGGTTCGTTGGCGTTGGCTTGTGGGCCAGAAGCGGCTGACTGCACGACCCCTTGGACGGCCAGCCCTGCCAAAAACCCGAGAGGGTTGTTGGTGGAATACTCTTCTCATGGATGATTGTGCCTTGTTCAGGGTGGCGTATAAATTTACATGCTTGTGTAATTCTTTAATATAGGGTTCTCCAAATAATAGACCCTTGGCCTTGGGGCCCAACTCTTTGGTCCCTAGGTCGGCTAGTTTGGCATCCATACGCAGCAGCACTGCTTTTCTACGCTCGGTAGAGAGGGAAGTATTTGCATTGCCCAGCAGGCAAATGGAGCGTAGTGCCCATTCTCTGATCACAGATGGGTCTAAAGGGCCCTCGTTAGTGAGGGCTTCATCAGCCAGTAGAAGAATTCTTGCCAAGGGCCCTAGGACATCCAACATCTTGTCCTGGGTGATGCGTAGGCTGCGCTCAATGCCCTTTTTAGGGTCACGGCCAGATCTGGCTAAATATGTGTAGAGCAGGGAATCAAACTCCGGGGTCATAGCGACCTTGTCTGGTAAGGTGGGTCTAGGGCATTCAGCTCTTAGGCGTTTGCGGACCTCCCGGTCTAGGGGTCTCCTTATCCAGAAATGGATATATTGTGAAAGGTGATTTGGGAGTGACCATTCTGAAGATCGAGGGTATCTGATCTGTCGTGGGTCAAATAGTGGTTCACCAAGCGTATCCAGAAAGGTTTCGGGTACTGAAACCTCAGTAGTGGGGTCTCCCGTGATATCTTGAGGGAAAGGTGCTTCTCTGAAAGATGTCTCAGGCCAGACTTCTTCGTCTTCTGAAGAGTGGCCAGCTTGCCATTCATCTAGAATGGCCAATGGGTGTGAGTCGAAAGAGTCGTCTTCCTCCTCCGACAAGGTAGGCTGTATGGAATGTTTTTCCCTGGCGTCCGTTTGTTTTGGGCGTTTAGCCGGTTCTTTCCCTTTGCGTTTGAGTGATTCTGGCCCATCCCCTTTCCAATATCGTTTATTGAGTTTGGAAGGGTTCCTTCTTGTAGAATCGGAATCATCCGCCTCTTCATCAGAGTGCGGGGGCTCAGAAATTTTGGTATCTTTGGGCTCAATGGGCAGCACCCGAGCCAGGGTCTTTTCTAGTGAAGCGGCAACAGCCGCGTTTATAATCGCTTGCAGATTTTGATCTTGGTTTGAAGCCTCCATAGCAACAGTGTTGGTACCTATGGGGCAGAATAGGCCAGCATTAGAAAGTATTTTAGGGCCGTCTAGTATATCAAAAGATATTTAATTTCAACAGTGCAAGCTGTAATGGGGGTCACCCAGATACAATAACCTCAGAGTGCTTATTTAAACTCGTGTAGAGGTATGGTGGCACAGACAAAGCGGGCCAGTCATGGGCTGTATGGTATAACAGCAATCATAAAATATATAGGGACTTACCCTTAGAAAAATCACAATATGACTGTGATAAATATTTAGCTGGCTGGTATTGGGGGTTGCTCCCAATATAACAGTATTGAGTAGTTTAATATACATGCATAATAATATTGGTAATGTAGTACCTTTAATTCACCACCAGGGGGAGTAGTGTAAGCGAAAATTCTCCTGAACTGAATTACAGAGAGAAGTATCTCTTGTGAAAAACAAATTCTGCTCTGAGGGAAATATTGTCTGAGAAATATAAGTGAGAGAACTTATATATGTGAAACTTGTAAGATATTTGTACTGCCGATTAACAATTAAAATGGCCGCCGTGCGGCTAGAATGGTCGCCGATCGCGGCTCCAACAAAATGGCCGCCGCGATCTCGCGCATGCGCAAAAGGTGCAAACGGCCGTTCGGATCTCGCGGCAATGCGCGAGATCCAAGATGGCCGCCGTGCGCGCTCAGGGCCGATGGAGGCGTACTCCACAGCCCAAAAGCCCGGGAAAAACGGGGCAGAATATGCCGACCGCAACCCGGACCAATAAAAGTAAGAGACACAATGAAAAGGTATAGAAAAATGAAACAGAACGTAAGGGACAGTACAAAAGGACTAAAGGGAGAAAATTAGGCAGTAATAAGTTAAGAGAGAAAACTTTAGAAGATAGCTAAGGTGGGACAAGCACCTTAGAAATAGGAATATAAGAATATAGCTAAAGTATGGGAAACATAGCTAAGAAAAAACAAAGATTAAATAACAAGTTAAAATAAAGAGGATAGTAAATAACCCACAGAAAGTAAGAGGCAGTGGCACTCTGACCTGTACTGGTGTGAAGCAGCAAAGAAAGAGGAAGTGACATCACAGGGAGGGACTCTTATACCTTGTTATCTTTTTTTCTGATTGGTTACCCTGTTACTAAGTAAAAAAGTGCTGCTGTGAAGCTTAAGTAAAGAAAGACTTAAGCAAATACGAAGCCTCCTGTCATGTTATAAAATTCAAATTGTATTGAACAAACCTCCTAATGATTACAGTAATTTTTTTTTTAAACATAAAAACCTTACAATACACAGTTCCAAATTATTACGCACAGTAAGTTTCAAAACACTTTATAGGTTGTAAAGAACTGAAAATTTTTATTTGTTGTGTTTGCAGCATATTTACTGAATTCAAAAGCTATTTCAATCAAACTTATAACAACATTTACATTTTTAAACATTTTAACAGGTCAGGATAGCAGCTTCACAAGTCTTGCATCCATTGAACTTGTGAGTTTTTGGACAGCTTCTGCTTGAATTTGTTTGCAAGATGTCAGAATAGCCTCCCAGATTTCTACTCTGTGCTTTTTGCCTTGGGCTCGTGAAGCATAAGTTTTGGTGTTTACATGATCTTTTATTTGAACCCATATACAGCGGAGAAGCGCTATATATGGGACTCCAGCACAAAAGCAACAATGGCAGGTAGTGTATAGGCAGTTAGTGGCAGGCCCGGGTCGGCCTGTAGGTTAAGTCACTCCCCGCCAGTCTCCCGCGCCCTGGTCCCATCAGGTAGGGAGGTCTCAGGTCCTTGAGCAAGGTCCATCAACCTCCATCAAGCTATGTGGGGTATTATCCATTTAGACGTGTGTGGTGGCGAAGACTCTCGGGCAACTGGGGGCATTTATGAACTTCGGGAAGTGAGTATGCCCTTGGCAATGAGGTTAGTCCGGAGACACCGCAAACAATACACATGGATTGGTTATACAATAAAGAAATGCATAAGAACATTATGTTTACCCTTTTCTGATTATTGTTTTTTTTCCTCCCCACCTTTTTACCCTTTATATTAACAGTCCTAACCACTCCTCCATATAATCCCATAAATTTTTAAACAAGTGGTTGAGTTGTCCGACATGGGCTTAGGGAAGTGTGCCAAGTTTTGCCCTTAGGGGTTGTCTCTGTCGGTGTCCATCCCGGCTCTAAGGGTGCTCCATATCCTTAATATGGGTTGGAATTGGTCCAGAGGGTGTATAACACCAAGAGGGGGATGACCGGTTGTGTGCAATGTACTCGTCTCACTTATTCTCCACCCCCTCTCATGGGACCATCCCATACTCCAGCAGTATAGAAACATAACAACCAATCAGAAAAAGTTATGATGTCCATAAAAGGCCCTGTCTATAACATCACTTCCTCTTTCTTTGAAGCAAAAAACAGACAAATAACAACCATAAATAACGTAATCATATAAAGTTCTAACAATTCAATAACATAATAAAGTTCCAATCTCCAGTAAATCTTTGATGTAGAGGTATTGACGATGAATTGTTGTCTTGTTGAGAAGACGTTCACACTGAAAGAAAAGAAAAGGTTGAAAGGTCTCTGACGTGGCAAGTTGCCCGCATATAATAAACATTAAGAATCTGACATAACAATGGATGCCTAATGGATAGCAATGCATGTTAATTTTAAACTATGGTATTAATCAATATAACACTCTAAAAGGTACATGTCTAATTATTCAACCCTCTACTATCCCTCCAAAATACATGTCTAAGTATTAAACCATATAACCATATATGCTGATACATGTCTTCCTGAACCCAAAGGCTGTATGCTATGCAACCTAATTATGATATGGGAGGGGTCCTATAGGGTGGGAAATATTCGCCTCCTGTCATTACTAAAATTAAGGTTATTAGTTCACTAAAGGTAATATAATCTTCAATTTTACTACATGACAGGAGGCTTCATATATGCATCTTTAAAGCTTCGAATTAACTAATGTGAAGGAAGCATGAGATGTTTGCCGAAAATAAAACGTCCTATCCGCACAGCGCATAATGTCGGCTAGGGATGCGCCTGCCGATAAAGCTTGTGAGGCTGCCGCCCCTCTGACCGAGTGCGCCCTGAAGTAAGGTTCAACGCCCTCTAACAATAATAGCCAGCGGACCCATCTAGCCAGTGTCGTCATAGACACCGGTCCGTGAGGCCTTACATAAGAAATCAGGAGTTGACCCGTCGAAGTAGTTCGAAGGGGAGCAGTGATTTCTGTATACTTCATTAGTGTCCTGACAACACATAGTTTGGGGTCTGACCCAAAGTACGGGTATGACACTGAAGATGAATCTGACTTAGTCCGTCTCGATATGGAAAAGGTAACTCCTTCCGGTGTGAGAGAGAAACCGTCCACATCGAATGCTCTAACATCTGCCACCCGTCGAAACGAGACGAGGCATAACAAGAGGGTCAGTTTGGCTGAAAGTTGTTTCAGCGACAGATAGGGGTTGTCGGGCCATTCCTTACGGAATTTCAGCACCACATACACCTGCCAGAGGCGTGAATATTTGGGGGTTGGGGGTCTTGTTAATTTGGCACCCTGTAGTAGCCGACAAACCAGTGGATCTTGACCCACTGGTCTGCCTTGTACTGGGACGTGTGCCGCCAATATGGCAGATCTGATCACATTGAGGGATCGATATGATCGCCCCAGCGAGAACAGATGAGATAGGTAGTTAAGGATCAGTGAGACAGGGGCAGTAAAGGGATCGGAATCCCTTTCCACACACCAATTACTCCAGGCCAACCAGGTGGAAATATAGCATTTCCTGGTGCCGGGAGCCCATGAGTACAATAGGAGGTCTTTAGTTGATTGTGATAGGCCGTAGACTGACCAGGAACCCCTCGAGGTCCCGTCAGAAGTAGAGGGAAGGTTGGTAGTAGTAGAGGGGTTCGTGAGACATCTCCAGGAGATCCGGAAACCATGGTTGACTCTGCCAGAGGGGTGTTATGAGAAGGAGCGATATCTTGTGGGTGCGTGTATATCGAAGTACCCGTGGAATCATGGAGAATGATGGGAATGCGTACGCCCCCTGTGTGGGCCAGTTTTGTAGAAATTCGTCCGCAGCTTCGCCTTTCAGATCCGGAAGCCAACTGTAGTATCTCGGTAGTTGGTGGTTGGTCCTGGAGGCGAATAGATCTATTGTGAATGGGTCTTTCCACCGTCATAGCTCTTGGAATATCTCCTTGTTGAGTTTACAATCGCTGTTGTCTCGCCAGTGGCGTGAGAACCAGTCCACCGTCAGGTTGGAGATTCCTGGCAGATATTCCGCCTGTAGTGTGATATTCCGTGTTAGGCAAAATCTGTAGATGTCCTTCGTGACTTCTGTCAGAGCTCGTGACCTTGCTCTGCCTAGGCAGTTGATGTACTGCACCACCGAAACATTGTCCATGCGGAGCAGAATGCAGCAGTTCGACTTGTCCTTGGCCAGGCTGCGGATGGCACAGGACCCCGCGATCAGTTCCAGGCAGTTGATGTGTAGGTCGGTCTCCTCCCCTTGCCATGGGCCTCCCGTGGAGGTGTCTGTGCAATGAGCGCCCCATCCCCATAGGCTGGCGTCCGACGATGAAGTCCGAGGAAGAGCCAAAAATTGCCTTGCAATTCCAGGCTTGTATGTGAAGTAATCACCATCGAAGTTCCGTTCTCACTTCCGCCGACAGTGGGATCCAGTGATTGTATGAATGTCCGGTGCGTAGATATCCCGCCTTCAGTAATCGCATGGCCCTGTAGTGTAACGGGCCCGGGAATATCGCTTGTATGGAGGAGGAGAGGAGTCCCACAATCCGGGCGAGCATTCTGAGCGGTATTGTATCCATCCTCAGTACCCGTCTGATTTCCTTCCGTATCAAGGCTATCTTCACCGAGGGTAACCGTAGAACGCAGTCCTTCGAGTCGATGTCGAAGCTGAGGAATTGGACAGACTGGGAGGGAGAGAGAGACGATTTTTGTCTGTTCAATACAAAACCTAAAGATTCCAGCAAGTGAACGGCAAATTTCGTCTGCAATCGCAGTCTGGAAGCGGATTCGCAAAAGATTAGCAAATCGTGAGATTTAGTGCAATATATTTGGGAGATTCCATTTTATGCTATTTTATGCAAATAAAGTTTGTTCCTGTATTTCCTGACTTGGTTTTTTATCCAAAGATACAAGGGAATTTTTACAGTGATCAACTAAACCTGCTTTTCCAGCATCGTGGTCTACAGGAATATCTTATAAGGCGCTTATAGTCTGAGCCACTGTTTACGGCTCAGCACCACGTGAGTGGGCTGTGACGAAGTGCCCTTCGCCACTTGTGCCTGGAGAGGACTGCTTGCTCGCCTCTTGCCCTGTGACTATGGCCCCTGGGATGTGTTGCCCTTTAAAGACATGATTTGGGCATAATGGATTTGTGTTGTGCTGCTGCTGGCCCTTTAAGAACCATCTGGGGACATACTGTGGAGTTACTGGGTGGCCACCATTTCCTGTATCAAAAGCACATGGTGAGAACAATGGATGGCGGCCATTTTAACTCACAGACACTGTTTGGACTTTTCAACACGGTGCCATCTCGCCAGTATTTGTTGCACAGAGACATTGTGCGGTGGTTTTGGACTATACAGGGGGACACATTATACAGTGATTGTTTTTCATTTAGCCTGTATATGTTCTGCAGAATCTGCATTAAACTGTATTTTCCAAAGTACTGAACGGATCTGGGTAAATTTTGGATATGTGGTTCACCCAGATCCCCCAGTTCCAAGGATATACTTTTTATGGGGTTATTGCATGTTTTGGGGTCCCTGTGTGTTTTATGAAACTGTATTATATCTGGCCAGCAGATAACTGAGCTTTGTGTATTGTAGCAACTCAATTATCTAGCCTGGCCCAGAGGAGGAGTTTTGTGTTGCATAAATTGTGAGTTCTGTGTGCCAGTAAATCAGTCTTGTTCCAGCATTAAGCCTTGGCTCATGTTTGGGGGAAGGGATACCTACACTCTGAGGATTGCAATAATCACTATACTCCCCAGGGTATGATCACTAAGTTCTGCTAAGAGCTTGTTCCTGTTCTTGTTCCTGCTCTCTGGGGAAAGAGAGGTTCACCCACTGGAAGCTGGATCCTGGCCTTGGGTCCAGGGTGGGTGGAGACAGCAGAGACCCCGGCGCAGTTGCATCGCTGGAAGTGGGGTCTGCAGTGCTGATGGTGTCGGTTGGAGTGCTTGGAGTCCTCAGCGAGCACTAGGAGCATCGATTGGCGGAGGTACTCAGTCGGAGTGCCAGCGTTCCGTCACATGGGCAATTTTATATTTATTTTTATTTTGTCTATTTTATACAGGCTATACTATGTTCTTTATTTTTTATTTTTAGGACATTTCAGATATATGGTAATATTGCCTGTTTTTTACATCTGTTTTATATCTGGTGTATAGAGTTTGCTCTCACTATACTATTTATGTTATTTTACTGGGGCTCTCTCTGTCTCGGTCGTCGTCGCCAAGAATGGTCTCCTTTACGTATCTCGAGGAGATGGGGGTAGGTCCTGCCACTCCACGGAGGCCGCTACAGCGGCATTTATCATTGCCTGAAAATCTTGGCTGGTTTGAGTGTCTTCCATGACTCAAATTATTTCTCTCGTCCTGTTGGGCGATAAGAAGAGTCAGTGGAGATAGTGGTGAAGGGTCAGTACATATAGTGCCAGACTCCTGGTACAACTGGGGGTCGCAATCAGCGACAAAACTCATGTTGAGAGGTGTAGGCCCTCGTGCATGTGATCAGGGTTCACCCCGGGTGGTGTGCCGTGGTAAACCAGAGAACACCCACATTATAGATTGTTGTGGACAAAAATATTAACCCAATCCTTGTTAGTAAAATGCCTATTTACTCAGCATAACTACAATCAGCATTATTCAACTTTCTATGTGATTTACCTAAAATGGCCGCTAGGGAGTTTCCCTTTGACATCAACTAACACCCTCATTAACAAGGAGACCTCCAAGATACCGGTGACATCACACCCGGTAGGAAGAGCACTAAATGAACCACTAAATACCTAACCAATTATTGTTGTATTACTCCATGTTATCTCAGACAATGCATATGATGTAATTTTGCTTTATAAGGGACATGCCGTCCCCTCAGAATAAACATTCCTCAAGTTTTTCATTAACCCGAAACCTGTGTCTGGTGTTAATTACTTTAGGAGCATGCACGCATTAC